CAAGCCCACGAACAGCGCCAGGGAACCAGTTGACCACTCTACGAGCAACGGCAACAACAACAACGACGACGACTCCAACGAGGGTAATGGAGCCGATCAGAGTGAGAATATTGCGGACAACGGTTTTGAGGAGCCCAGGAAGGAGGTAATGAATGAGTCCATGGATGATGCGCAACTCTTCTCCAATGACGATATGAATTTTCCGCAGTACAAGACCGGATTCTTTCACAACGTCCTTCACAATGTTCCGCTGTGGTGTGTATGGTTGCACGCTGTTATTGTGTCCGGTGGCGTGCATATTGTAATGCTCAATAGTCGTCAGATATTTGTGGCGGTATCTGAAGACCCGAATAGCGAACAGCTTCCCGCCCTGTACGTCGCTCTGACAAGTGTCGGCAACGCCATTGGTCGTCTCGGTGTCAGTTTCTTCGAGGCATGGAATGCAAGCCGGCCGCTCGAGAAGCGGACGCCCGTGACTATCACATATTGTGCCCCCTCTTTGTTTATGTGCCTCTCTGGCATCTTTTTCCTCGTTCTGCCAGCGAAGGGACTGATTCTTCCAATGGTTCTTGGGGGTTTGGCGAACGGTTCATATGCTGCCGCTCTCGTGTTGACTGTCCGCACCATCTACAGCATTGACGTTGCGAAGCATTACAACAGCATTTTCTTATTCGACCTTATTGGTGTCGTTGTTTTCAACCGATTTATGTTTGGTGAAGTTTTGACACGCAATTCTGTTCGGACTGAGGACGGAAAGTACTATTGCCTGGGACGCGACAAGTGCCTGCGGACACCATTCGTTGTGCTTACCTGCCTTTGCGCATGCGCTTTTGCCTCCACTGTGTTAATGAATTTTATTTACATGCGCTTCGTTCGTTCTAGACGTGAGGAGCGTGCCGCGGAACAAAATGAACAGTTGGATGCGTAGGGAGTTGTTGGCGGGGGGTCGTAGCGAATCCCAAAACAATTTTAATTGCTTTATTTTTGTTTTTGTGTTGTTTTATCTAACTCTTTGGTATTAATGTTTTTATTTTTATTTTTCGCACAATTCGAATACCGCCAGTCGGTTGTTGTACTTCTCTCTCTCTCTCTCGTATTTTTGTATGCATGGCGTTTCTACATTTGTGTTTTTTGATTTTATTTTTTCCTCCGGAATTGTGTCTCAGTTCCAACACTTTTATTTTCCATGGCTGGCAGGGCCGTGTGTTTGTGAGAGCCTGCAGGAGAAGCGGTGCGCGGGGCAAGGGTCGGGAGAAAGGTTGCATGTTGTTTTTGCTTTTTATTTATGTTTCCAACTCCTTTCCTTTCGTGCTGCACGAGAGGCGGGTGGATGAC